ATTTCCTCATGCCGTCGACATCCTCGTATCTCTGGCAACAGTGGAGGCGGTTTCGTTTGGGCCGGCGGGCCTCGTAGGCATGAAGGTGGTCGAGTTCCATGGCCCCTCTCAACTTGCGCCTGCGCAATCCCAAAATGCGCCTGCAACAGCAGCAGCAGTACAAACTGTGGTATCCTTTTATGCAGTGTGCATTTACTTATCGGCGACTGTACTTTTTTGCATTGAAAACTGAACAAAACAGAAAGTTGCAGGTGGCAAGGCCCGGTTCTTATACGACTGCTACACATTCCCCAGCTTACCAGTCTCGAGTGACTGCGTCTCGCGGTACCAACGCATCTGTTACTGCTTCTTCAACGCCTACAGTTGGTGATTCAAAGGTAAAATTCACCTGCGGTTTCATCGCATCAAGGCGGGCATCTTTGAGATCCTTGCACAACATTTGCTTATGCTTATTCATTATTTTCTGTGCCTAAAATGTTACTAAATGAGGTTTTTTGGGAGAGGTGGAGAGAGGGGCGGGGGAGGAGCTCTTGTTAATAAATAGCGGCGCGCACCAGGGTAGCTGGTCCGATTACGCGTTTTTACACAGCTTCATCCAGCGAACGATTGCCTGCTAAGAGTTTTCACTGCTTTGCACTTTGATCTGTGCAGAAATAGTAGAAATGTAGTCCGGTTCCTAAGTTGCGGAATTTCCCACTAAAGTATTGTACAGTAAAAATCCTTCCAAAACCAACCCCCTAATTTTCTGGCGAGTGATTTTCAAGCCAAATGTAGTCATGCGTGAGACCTTGGCATAATTGGGAATTAAATATGAGTTTGTATAGTCACTGGATAGGCAGAAAACATCCTCCTGAAATCTTCAGCCTCCTATCTCTTCTGGCTTCCGGTAATTATTATTCCCACCAAAGCATTTACTAAGACGTTAGGACCCAGGTTGCGTGAAAGCTGAATTTGAATTTACAGGATTGCACGTGGACAGAGGACAATAAACTAAAATTTCGACTTTCCAGTTCCCGTGATTCCCAAAACAACTTCCCCCACCAAAACCTTCACAGGGTCATGCGTGGGGAGATGAATTTAAAGTTGTGAAGTTGTACCTGGGTAGGAGACATTACCGCAAAATTTTAGCTTACTACCTTTTGTAGCTCCCGAGGTAATAATTTCCCTCACCAAACCTTTGACGGGGTTATACGTGGTAATTGCGGATAACTGAAGGCTGAAGGGTCGCGTGTGGGTGGGGAACATTCTACCAAAATTTCAGCGTCCCAGCTTTTGTGGTTCCCGAATTAAAAATGCGAGAAAAAACGCACTCGAATACACACATACAGAAAACCCCTGACAATATACGTTTTGTACTGCTGTTACACAGCACAAAACGCATTAAAATATATCAGTCTTGTACCAGAATATCAATTCTCTTGCATTATCAGTATGCTG